GAAAAGAAACTTTAGGAGAAACTGAGCCATTTGCAGGGCTGCTGTAGGCTTTGTAGGGATTCTCTGTGCGTGCACCTGAGCCCATGTGCAGCCTTTGCTTTACTCCAGAGGTGGAACACAAGGAAAAGGAGTCTGTTGGTTTAGGATAATGTTGTTCTTGGTGAGCAATGCTGCATTGGTTGATGGGGTTGGTTTTAGTTCTACTTCACCAAAAGCAAAACACTGCAAGGCAAGTTTAATTTCCAGGACCTGGCTTCTGTGTTTCTTCAGCTGATATGATGAGGCATATCTTAGCTGTTTTCTCCAGCGTTATGTGTTCTTGTTCTGTGAATGCTGTTCCTCCAGCTGTAGTGAGACTCCTCGAGTTGGGGGGGTTTCTGTTGCCATCAACCATCGTTCCCTTACTGAGCTATAGCCCACTAGAAAAACATACAAATTGTGTTTGGTCGCTTGGTCCCACCTAGCTGTGCCAGGACAAGTTTGCTGGACTAAGGCTTTGCAAGATGTGCTCCGTGTTGTTAGCTGATAGTGAGGCATGTTTCTGACTGAGAGAGAGGATGGAAGATCTAAGAACTGGTCAACCTGTCTTTGTTAGTGGAAAGCTTTGTTTACAGCCGTTTGTCTCCTGTTGTGAAGGGCAGATGAGTGGGGTTAGGCCAGCCCCATGTTTAGATGACATTCATGAGAATTATTCATCAATGATTGTTATGGTGAGGTCATGTGCTGTCCCCCATGCTATGCTGCTGTGCCAAGAGATTTATTTTAATAGAAGCCTTTAAGTAACTGGCATTCTTGCTAATCATGGTGCATCTGCTTCTCTGGGTTCCCTGTTATGAGTAATTTAATGCTATTACTTTAGCTAGAAGGGATCTGTGTCACCATCTGTCCTGGAAAGCTATTGATGGGGCTGTGCAGAACATGGAGTGTCATCAACAGAAGAGAGGGACTTCTAAAGGGATGACTGGATTTCCTGTTGTAATACAATATAAGATGGTTTACTGTGATCACAGCTTAGGTAACTTGTGTATAAAGGCTGTTAGCTGCTCTTGGATTTTGTTGGGGACCATTTCTCAGATACTTATGTAGAGGGAAGTTACTATTGTTAGTTAGCAGCAAGTAGTAATCTGCTAAATAAAGCTTACTTCTTATAGGGACATGGGTCTATGAGACTGAAACCCTCAAGACTGACCCTACAACGCCTGTGCATCTGTCACTCCCAGCAGACAGATGCTCTTTGGAGAGGACTTGCCAGACGCTTTTAAAGCCAAATGCTTTTCCTAATCAATGGTTATTTTTCAGTTGTTTACAGACCACCCCTTGTAACAAGCCCTCTCAGTGCTGAAACTGAGTCACAATAGACCTGAAGAGGCTATATGGTTGAAAAGCAAATTGCTCTTCACTTCTGTAAGTGGTGTGCTCTCACGGTACCACTTACGTGCAGAGTATCATCCTGGTCTCTCGAGTGCACGTGGCTGATGTCTTTATTTTTATTGTCTGACAAACATCTCTTCTCTTTGTCTTTATAACTGATTAGTAATTGTACTGTTCACCCTCTAATTTGGCTTGTTTGGTCCTTCCTGACCTCGCTGGGTTTATTATGTGGAGTTTTTCTTTGACCATGCTATCCTTCCCAGCAATAAGTTATGTTGTGTTTTGAGTATAAATTGGTCTGACTCAAAAGTCCTGGCTCAGAAAATAGTTTGGGATGCAAACTTCACAGCTCTGATGGGTTTTTTGGTTTGTTTTTTTTTTGTTTGTTTGTTTTTTTGTCGTGCAGAGGTACAGCTCTTATTTCATATTCATCTAAGAAAACGCTCTTGCTGTCCCACGTCATATCTTATGTAGGTAAATGACAAGCACGAGGAATGCATACGGCCAAAATTTGCTTAAGACTTGCAACTAGGTGAAAGAGGCTGTGGGCTGGAGTTGGTCATCTGGAAAGGCTGAAGGAGGAAGCATGCACTGCTCTCAGAATAGCGTTCGTGATCTCTTGCAGGTGCATAGAAGTGAATAAAATAGCCAGAAATCAGAAGTGGGACACGAACTGACTTCCACAGAGTCTCAGCTAATTTGAGTTTTTCCCTTCTTCCTTCCTCACCAAGCGTTGGCACTGTGACACCATGACACCCGTCACATCTCGAGCAATCAGACAGCTTGCTCTGAGAAGCTAACCGAGTGTTAGCATTAGCAGGTCATGTGGAAAAGCTGCTTATGGAAGTATTCATGTAAAGCAAAAATTGGCTGATCTTGCAGGTTCACCAGGGTTCTAGCTGTAGGACAAGAACCAGGCAGCTCATCTTCATGCAGAAAGATTTTTGTCAAAACCGGCTAAATGGGAGAAAGAAAAGTGGAGAATATTAGTGTTAGGTGTATGTGTCTGGGCTAACACAACTGTTGGGCTTCAAACCAGAGCGATTTGAACAGGTTTCCTGAACCTGGATCAGGCCCTACAGTTATGAAAGAATTGGAGTTTGTTTTCCTGAACTGCTGCAGGTATAAACCATTGCTTCATCTGTTGAAATAAAAAGAAGATTGAAACCTAGGCAGAGACTAAGGGTGTTTCATCCCCAAAGACAGGTAATACTGATGAGGGCATGGGTCAGAACAATTCTCTTTGGGGGCTGAGGGCATAGGCAAGTGTCTGTGTCCTATTCACCCCAGCTAGAATCTTCCTTTCATGGAGAAATCGCTGTTCAAGAGACCATCAGAACCTGACTTTGCTTGGAATGATTGTCTTTAGTCTTTTCAAATGGATCAAGTTCGGGAGAAACCTCCTGCTTTGATTCATCTTCATCAGGAAAGGTTTTTAGGAACTGTAATGAGCTGGGGTGACATGGTATTGCAGGGTGAGATGCCAGGGGCTTTGATAAAAGGAAACACGTGTTGCAGGAGAGCTCCTTGGCTGCTGCTGATCTGTTTGATAGGAGCCAAAGTCAGAATTGGCAGCACAAGGTCTTGAACCTTCAAGCTTATGGGCGTGGAAGCAGCTGGCCCCTTGCATAGCCCCCTGAAGAGCTTCAAGAGGTGGAGGGCATAAGAGGAAGGCAACGCATAAGGCGTAGCTCAGATGTAGCTCTGAAAGAAAAAGTATGAAACTGCGTTCTGAGAAAGAAAGCCTAGAGGATGTTTTTGTTCGTTTTCTTATCAACCATGGCTATTAAAACAAAATAAATCTTCAGTGTGTTGGCTTTCTAATTCAATACCAAGCGTCTGTAAATCTGGGGACCCAGCTCGTCTGTGCAGGTCTGGCTTGGAACAGTCATGGAAGGTGCTGAGTCCACTCAGTGCTGCAAGTTTCTTTTGAAATTGAAAAACTCCTAAATACGTTTTGGTCCCAAATGAGGACTTGCAGATTTGCCTTGGAATTGCAATCTGGAGTGGGGTTTTAAATCTAGCTGATGTACGATTTTACGTGCGATAAATTGACACAAAGAGAACCCCTATTTCCTCTGCTTATGATTTCCACGTGCTTAAGCCATATAATAAAACTCTAGATCTCCATAATTTGTATCAACTGTTCGGAGCAGATGCTGTGCTATTATTCTGTCTGACACATTCGCTATGCCTGCTGCGTTACTGTGTTTTCCAAGACCTTTGAATTAACCAGATTTTTGGGTCATCAAGATTATTTAATGTTATTGTCATAAATATTTGTACAGGACTTGGTCAGTGCTTATATAAGAACTGAAAGACAGTAATTTGTTTTAAGAGGATGTGTGTTTTAATGAACTGCCAGCTGAATGTTAGATGTGAACTGTAAAAAAAAGTGTTTTTCTTTTGCAGGACTATTGCAGTTTGTGGAGTGGGGAAAAAACCCCAACTATTTAGATTGTCAGTTATTTAGAATTGTTGGTTACAGCTGTTAAATTTAAAATTGCTTGAGAGCTCTTTAAAAAGAGGGCTATTTACTTCTAAATAGCTGTGTTGGCTTATCATCCTGTCCTCAAAAGATGAGAAGCTGATCTCTCGCATCTTATTAATCATTTTCTGTTAAACCATGTTATCCTTTGAATTGTTTGTATGCCAAAAATGAGAAGTTGTTATTGTGTTATATTTCACAGTTGATTCTTGTATAAAATTCCTTTTCTTTTTTTCTTAATTTCCAAAGTACCCTCGTCTCAAATACAAACAATAATCTCGAAATACTAACAATGTGAATCTGTTGTTTGGAAATGATGAAGGTTATACATCATTCAATCTGCTGAAATGTGTTACAAATGAATAAATATTTGGTTTGCCTCTAGCTCGTCTTAGAAGCACTGAAATTAGTATTTTTTTATCGAAGGAATTTTTGCCAGGTTTCTCGATGAGGGACAATACTACAAATAAGCCAAAATACGGAGGCTGCCAGGGGGTGCTGTGTGCATTCTGGCAAACTTGGGTTGTTTCTTCTAAATATCTTAATTAGCAGAGCATAGTCTCCAGGCTGTTCTTGGAGAGCTGCTGGCCTGCCAGACCACAGGCAACAAGACCCCAAATCCTGTGGTTTTAGGTCATAAAATAGACTTTAGCAGTGTGATGTTGTGCCGAGTGTGTGCGTGATTCTTCACGGTGATACACCACCACGAGAACGTGCCAAGTCGGACGAACTCCCTTTTGCTGAAGCTTGTTGTGCTGTTGGGTGGTTCACAGCTGGAGCCAAGGTTTAGTGTGCTCGTGGGAAGAGCCACGTGTAACCTGTTGTAGGAGTGGGAATTCACGTGTTGTTAGGTCTCCATTCATACTGTCTCCTTGTGTCCAAATCCAGATTTTTACAGGATCTCTAATAAATCAGGTCTCTGTTCCTGTGTTGGCCAGATGAGTCTCTGAACCTTTCCTTTAGGATCTCTAGGCTTGGTACTCTTACTGCCAGGGTGCTACTACAGTTCTGCTGTCTGTATGAAGCTCTGCTCTGCTCACAAGGAGTCCTAGAAACTGTCCCCAACGTTCATGTGCGTTGCGACCTTGGCATGCACAATGCACTGGAAGGATTAACCATGTGATGTATTTTGCCCTTTCAGAAAAAGAGCAGAGAGGAGACATGTGGGGAAGGCAGTGGAGTAGAGATCCTGGAGAACAGGCCATACATGGATGGACCGGGAGGCAACGGGCAGTATACTCACAAAGTGTACCACATTGGTATGCACATACCCAGCTGGTTTCGGTCCATCTTGCCCAAGGCGGCTCTGCGAGTTGAAGAGGAATCGTGGAACGCGTATCCTTATACAAGGACAAGGTAAAACTTACCGAGATGTCCAGAGCTGTTTCCCTTCTTTAGAGAGAGAATTTGATGTCGCTCTGCGTGGCGGTGGCATCTCTTCCAAGTCCAGTAGTATCCTTTGGAGGAACTGGGGTCAAGTCCTAAAATTCTTACACAGTGCTTAATCTCAGGAGTGCGAGTGTTGCCTGAGCTGACTGCATATGTACTTGAGAATTTGTGGCTGGTTGCTCTAAAGTGTGAGCTGTTTTGTTCATCAAATCATAGAAAATCTTGAATGGTTTTTATTTAGTCTTGTATCCTGCACTCCATGTTCTACTCAACGTTGAAGATATCTGCTAGCTCAGTGAAGTTGTAAATCTACATGATGATGATGAGAAAGTTTTCACATTGAACGCTGTCGAGTAAGACAGGATTCATTTGTTCTAGGGGAGAAAGTGTGGGGAGAGAGAAAAATATTAACAAAATAAATAAATCTGTTGCTTCTTTTCTGGTTACTGTCTTACTGTTAGCAAATAACAAACCTACGTCCTATGGTTTTCACCCTGAGAAGGGAAGAGAGCCAGAGGCTCTGTGGAGCCCTCTGGGACCTCGTCAACTGATTTTTGTCTGGGAGAGCTGCAGATACCTCAAAATAAATAGCCTTTATGCCAGTTACTCTGGTTTAGAGTGTTTGCCCTTTTCCAGGTTTACAAATCTGATATTGCTGTTGTCTTTCGTAATAAAAAGGCTTCAGTGGATTTTTTGATTTTTATAAAAAAAAAAATCTAGAAAAGTTTCATAGTTCTGTTTTAGCTGGTGCCTACAAGTAACATTAGTCCGAGGAAAGATGGGGAGGTGGTGTCTGCATAAGGGCAGTTGCTCATGACTAAATATAATGGAGCTGTTGGACTTTCAAGTGATTGAAATCTGCTTCCAGTCTCTTTTTATCTCTTCTCTTCAAATGCCTGTGAGTCAATAAGTTGGCCAGGAAACCTGGCCCTGTGCAGAATCAGTCCATATTTTATTCTGCCACGGATGCCAGGCAAAAGCTCTGCTTTTCTGCTGGTAGAAATGCATTTCCAGAGTGTCCTTGTGTTAATATCTGTGTCATACCTGCAAGGATAACATAACTTAGCAGACCCAAAAGTTATCTCCTTGCTGAAAACTGCTTCTTTAAAAATGATCTGTCCTGATAATCTTCTCCTGGAGAAGACATTGTCAAATAAAGTTGCGGGTTTTTGTCAGTGTCTTTGCAAAGTGAGGTGGTGTGGTGGTCCTCTCAGGCTTTCTGCTTGCTTGTTGCCAGTTGGGAAGTTGTTCCTTGGTCATCGTGAGTGCCCAGTCTCCAGTAATTGTGTGGAGTGCACTGGTACCTTCTCACCTGTAATCCATGTATCACTTCATGGGCAGCACACTCCTGGGCTGTGGGCTTGGTGTTTTACTAAACCAGAGCTGTTCCAGTGAAGCCATATGTCTGAGGCAAGCTCCTGTCTTAAGAAGTTATTAAAGAAAATCTCTTTAATCTGTACTGTTGGTATTTTAAGCATATCTGAAGTAAAACACGAGTGAAGGCTGGCTTGGATTTGAGGCTGATTTTGTACATCTTAGGAAAGCATTTTCTGTGCTTGCCAGGCAGAGCTGGATTTACTCTAAGCTGCATTGTTCCCGTTTGCAGGTATACGTGTCCTTTTGTGGAGAAGTTCTCTATTGATATTGAGACGTACTACAAAACTGATCCAGGAGAACATGTCAACGTGTTCAACCTTTCTCCTGCAGAGAAAAGACAAACCATTCTAGGTGAATAGCCTTTTTCTTTTACTGTTTCCTTTATTCTGCTTTTTTTTTTTCTGTGTAAATGATTTTGCTTGGTGTGTCCCATCTGCCTGTCCGTGCCCCCCCTAAACACACACCTGCATCCCTGTTGGTGTCAGGCTGCTGGGTAGGGTTACATCAAGCAGAGTGAGGACACCTGAGTTCTCTTCCAGGCTTGATGTAAATCACATGGAAATAATTTGAATCCCCTGTCTGTAAAATGAAGCTGATGCTTTCCTGTCTTATTTGTGCAGCTCCTGAGGGGAGTAAGGCATCTAATGATTTTGGGGGTAATAAGTAGAAATAACCATAGAAGAGGAAAATATTGCTGTATAACTGTGTAACTCCACATATGTGAAAAGCATTCCTATCTGCACTGCTGAAACATAAGGGTGTATTTTATTTTTGCTTCCCTTCCTCTTAGTCCTGCCCTTGTGCAGGTTAACACTTCAGCTTTGCAGCTGTCTTTGGGCGACTGGGTTGATTAACCTTGATTTAATGAGAAAAGGCAAAAGGGAACATCTTATAAAAAGGCAGACAATGGCAAGTGTGATAGCGATTCCTCTGTCTTGTTGGCCATTGTGGTCTGTGCCTGTGGATTTTGCCGGTGACCCAGCTGTGTGGCAGGGAACGCTGGCAATTGCAGTCACGCAGGGCTGAAGCATCCCTCGCTCTGAAGCTGCTGAGCCTGGAGAGGTGTTGAGCTCGGGCTGACGTCTGGCAGTCCCAGGCTGCGCTGGTCACAGCAGGAGCTCTGGGGAAGGACATTAAGTGGCTACTCTGGGTCCTTGGGCCGTGTTGACGTGTGAGACAAGACAGCAACCCCGTGTAGTTTTACTTGAGTGTTACTTGATTTAAACTTCTTCATTTTGAACTTCAGTTTGACTGTCCTTGTTCCTAAGCCTATCTGATGGGGCTTTCAGAACTGAACAGATAGGCTTGAGTCATGCTGACTCATTGAGAAGTGTCAGAAGAGCCATTGTAACTTGGGAAGTGTGATCCTGCTCTTCAATCCAAACTGGAGATGCTTCTGCTGAGGTCTGGGGTGGGGGTTGCAGATCTTTAGAATACGTTCATTCACTCTGCTCCCATTGCAGTTTCCACTTCTCCACTGTTGAAGTGTAATTAGAACTTAAGTTAAACTTTCTACCTTCCGTGTCGTATATCCGGTGTAACAATAGCACGCGAGACATTGCCAGTAACCTCAGTTGATGGGCTCCAAAGATAAGATGTTCAGTGGATAGCATCTTTTCCATGACAGTGCTAAGAAAGGACAGGTGTGTTTAACCGTCTCAGATGAGACAGATCTGTAGCACTGTGAGTGATGTTAGAAAAGCTGAAAGATGGGATGTGCGAAAGATGGTTTTGGAGCTGGAAGGATGGAGTGTGCAGATCTGCCAGAGTGCTGTGTGTGGATCTGCAGTCACTGTGGTAAAAACATCTGTTTGGAGCAAAGCCTCTGTTTGCTGGAACTGTGTGTACTGGTTCCTCTGGCAGAGGTGATCACTACCCAGCAGCAATGTATAAACAATTTAAATATCAGTTAAGTATAAGTAAAAAGAAGCTAAATCGCTGTAATGCTTCTGATACTTACTAAACCAGAAATAACTCCTGATATTTTCTTCTTTTTTTCATGAAAAGGAAATGTCTAATTGTTTCTATCCTCTTTCTTTAGATCCTATTGATATTGTGAAAGATCCTATCCCCCCTCATGAATACAAAGCTGAGGAGGATCCAAAGCTGTATAAATCAGTGAAGACTAAAAGAGGTCCCCTCTCAGAAGACTGGATTCAAGAGTACAAGAACAACCCTGGGAAATACCCCATTATGTGTGCATATAAACTTTGTAAAGTCGAGTTCAGAT